AACCTTGAACCTTGTCACCCCACCCTCTGCATGTCCTCCTTCACTACATCCATCAACCTCCTCTGAGGTCTTCTCGTCTCCTCCTGTCTAGCAGCTCCATCATATCCACCCCTCCTCCTCCGCACATGCTCAGACCATCTCAGCCGCTCTGATTCTGAGCTGTCCCCCTGATTGACAGAGGATACATCAAACACCTTCTTGGTGGTCTGAGCTGGACTTCCAGTCATGCCTTAGCTCTTCCTGCCTCCCACAGCCCGACTCATCTTCTCCCTGAACTCTGAGCAACATGCTTCATCTTCCAACATTTCCTCCTCGCCTTCACTTACTTCCTCTTCGTGATGTCTAACGTCATCCTGCAGACTACCACGACACCACCTCACAGCCTCCTATTTTTCAGATTCCACCTTCTGCATAATATGTGGCCTACCTGCGCGCACCTTCCTCATCCATCACCTCCACCCTGCTCCTCCCTCTTCTTAAAGAGAGTGTTCATCACAAATGTTTCCTTTTTACAAAATCCAAACATTTCTCTAAAACACCCAACCCGAGCCAAGTCCTCCTCATCACCTCCGTTCCCTTCTCCTTCAGCCTCCCCCCCCGAGGACACTCTCTGCCACTTCATCTTCATTCCTCTCTCTCCTCTAACATTCAGCCTGAGGTCTCCTCGGCCAGTTTTTGATGCGAGCTGGAAGGTTTTTTCTTTTCTGACGCGGGAGGACAACTACAGCACCAAATATGAGCTTACATTCTGACAGTCAGGACTATACTCGGCTGTTCAGGGGGAAGCCTGTATGTCAATGATACAAGTACCACCAGTCAAATCTCTCAACAGCTTCTATTTCAGTCTCTCTGGATTACACACTGGGTCCCATTGTTGACTGTCTCTAGCTGCACCATTAGCTCTGAAGCCTCTGCTCTGCTGACGTCGCTGCCCATAAACTGTCCTGGTTGTGCTCAGAGGAACAGCTTAGGACTCAGAGAATGAAGCCTCACATGTAGGAACTGTGTCTGAGTGCAAAAGGTGCCCGGGGTGGATGGTGGGGCTCAGAGGCTTTCATAAAACTGCTGATTATGAGGAAAACATTTACACGGTGCGGGAAATGATTGGAGAGGAGACGGTGCAGCGGGGTAGGATATTTTGGTAAAAGGGGAACACGACAGATTCAGCATCAGCACACTGGCAACAGGATATTAATGAGCAATGTTTTCTCCAAATGCTAATAGAAAAGAATAATCCAATTAGATTTCCTTTGGAACGTATCTGCTGTTGCAATTTTCAGATTTAGTCGTCTGCATGCAGAATTGTTGCCGAGTTCTCTGTAAAGAAAGAGAGGAAATAAATGATCACTGGGTTTAGATGTCACACTCTGTTCTCCTCATGAACGCTTTCTAACCTGACAGGGAGGTTATCAGGTCGCTGCCCTGTAGATAAACAAACGTCCTCTTCATTCTTGGACACGCACGCTGCGCTTCAGTCCACGTCAGAGCTCAGAGGCTCAGAGTCTGAGCTGGTTAACTCTGCAGTGGTCTTTAAGTGCTGATGTCAGCTTCAGTCATGCTAACCAAGCAGCAAAACTGCAGTTCCTCTCACGTCCAGCAGAGGCAATAGTGAGTCAGTCCCCACAGACCCCTGTGTTAATATTGTACAGCAGCGATAAACAT